ACTCCAAAATAGGCTTTCTCATTCGGATTAAATAGCAGTTTCGTCATCGCCTGGGTCTCATCTGCACCCAAACCCGCCTCAAAACCGGGTCAAGAATGCCAATTGGCAGCATAGACAAAAATGCTTTTCTATTGCAGAGCAGAAAGATTGTAAATACCAACTTGTATTTGCCAATGTACAAGTTGGCGCCACAATATTTATAGTAGTGGATAATGAAGATGTATGTATCATTTCGAGTACCATTCGAAATTTTTATGACTAAATTTCCAAAATTAGGTTGGCCTTCTTCTACAACATAGATCTTGACTAGCTCTTGCTATCAAGTCCTCTAAACATCATTCCGTCCCTCCAATCTCTTCCTCTTGCTTCTCGTTTCTCCTTTTTCGCGCACTTTCTCTCTTTCTCTTTCTCTCTCTCTCCTCCTCTCTCTATCTCACGTTAGAGCGTGGCTACTGCTTCACTCGTCATACATTAACCATCGAGCTGCAATTTACCATCACTTACCACCAAACGTAAGGGTCACAAGTTCAGGTACTACGGATTGGTGTTTGAAAGGTTTTGCCTCTAGCAATGTCATGCAATATCCAGATGCAATACCCTTTTATGGTTGCAAAAAGAGCACGGATAATTAAACGGTTGATAATGTAACCTGAAAATACCAGCTTGATCTTACTTGAAGGGTACTTAACCTGTACTTTAAGTGAGCAGACGGATTGTAAAAAAATCTGCCTAATAATCAAGCAAATCTATTTACCACCAACCGATAGGATTCTCCTTTCTAGCATACTTGCAAGTCTAACTTGAAGGCATAAAAAAGGAGAAGGCTGGGAAACGAGTCAGAAGAAAGCGTAAGACAAAGATTTTGTTGTGAAGACTTGCAGTTTGTGTAAAATCATGATGAGAAGATTCGGTGGCTAAACTCATCGGAAGACGACGGCCGATTCCAGTTGCTCTGCGTTAATGCGGCGTTCAGATCGGGAGACATCGTCCTTAGTTTGGATGAAATCGAGCTAAGCGTTCGTCCATCATATGATGTAAATCATCATAGCCGAAGTTTCAAGGTAGCCAAGAAGACTATCCTACATGCTATATAAGAGTATAACTAAACACGAAAAAAAAGTTATAGATGGATATAGAGTGATATGGTAAGTTCTTTTTCATATTATTAGGGGGAACCTTATTTCGGATAAAAGTGCACGAAGAAGAGATTCGTTGGTCGATCTCACCAGATAAGGACGGATGAATCATGTTGTACTGCAGCCGTTTGGCTTTCATACGATATTCATGTTAACGCAGTCCACAAGACTTCTTCCCTAGTTTCGGGTAAAAATATGCTGAGCTTTCGTTCATCATATGATGGACATCATTAGAGTCGCTTCATTCTTGTAAAAGTCTCACGTTGTGGTTCAACATTGAACCTAAACAAAGCAAGCAGTACCACAACATTTGTGGGTTGGCACACACGAGACTAGGGCATGGGAAGTCATAGATTTGGTATTAGAGATAGAAACAGGATAGACGCAGCGGCAATGGGAGCTAGTGGGCTGACAGTAGTTTGTATAAGAGACGTGTTCATGTGGCAAAGGCGTGACCATGACACTTACTCAGAGGCTTGAGCCTCGAATTAGTCACCCAGACGCAGTGGAGGGTGAATAACGCCTCGAGTAGCACAGATGGGGAACAGGGTTCGAGTGAAATATGTGAACCAGGGAGAGGGCAGACGGATCTTACGGGGCAAGAGAGAGATTGTGATAAGACCTAGGTAAGGAAGACTGCGTAACAATATGGCAGACTCTGATCCACATTCCCAGGACCAGAATGAAGGGG